CTGAAGATTTTCTTCAGTCCATAGAGATTGCTGAGGAAAGAGATTGTGACTCTCAGTGTAGAACAGCTGCAGTTCAGCTAGCAGGATGCGGTGTCTTATGTTGCAGGTTGGGTTAGGAGTGGGAAGAAAAAGACTTTGTGGCACTTACTGACAAATGCAGAAGGTAGGGCTGAGCAAATAAAACAATGTTGATGCACTTTAAATAACCAATTTCAGAGATTATTGATTATATAACTGTAAGTACTTCTTGATTGGGAAAAGTAGGAATAGAAAAAAGCTTACACTAAGTCCTCCACTGCAAAAGAACTGGTGCTTTGAACGTACCCTGACACTTGCCTGTACTGAAAAACATCAGCTGTTCTGAACTCTTCAAGTACTCCTTTGGGTTCATTTCAACACAAGAAAGTAAGTTTTTACAGTGAGAACAATCGATCACTGGTACAACCTCTGCAGGGCAGTGGTAGAGTCCTTGTCACGGGAGGTTTTCAAGACACAACTGGACAGGGTGCTGATGATCTCACCTAGGCTTCCTTTCCCACCAGAGGTTGGACCAGATCTTTCAAGGTCCCTTCCCCCCTGGGCTGTTCTGTGATTCTGTGTTGTCTGAATGTGGAACAGTGCTAAGCCACATGGTTTGCTCCTTCTTTGGAAAAGAGTATCACTTTCCTCATGTCTACTTCCTGTATGAAAATGAGCCTTCCATTATTGTGAAGCTTTTCCTTTTATATAATTAGTCAAATGTAAATATTAAGATGGCAATAGTGTTCTGGCAACTTCTTGTAGTATGTGTGAGAGGAGGGAGGTCACATGGTTCTAGGTCAAGATCAGTCTCAAAGGAGTTAATAAGGGTAATTTCCTGGTTACTGAATTTTCCCAACAGCACTTTACAGTCATAGAATTAGGGGCTCAATATACATCATCTTCTAGTTTAGAAGAAATTAGAGGGGAAATCCAGAACCCTGAGGGGCAAGGAAAGGACCACACACTCTTATTTGTAACTTCCATGTGGTTCAAAGATTCTTTTTAATAGCATAACCATGACATCTGCATTTCTGAGATTAAGCCCTGCTTAAAGGTTAAGCATAAACAGAACAACAACCCAGCAGCTGTTGCTGCTCAGGAACTGAAAGTGTGGACAGGGCTGCTCTTGAGGCCGTCTCCCTCAACCCAGCTATTTGAGACAAACACAGGTGGAAGTGAAAGCACCAAGTTCTCAGTAGCAGCAAAAGGCCTTATTGGTTACCAAACATGAGGATGTCAGCAGCTCATGTTTTTCCAAACTCATCAAGGTAATGGCTCAAGCATTCTTAGAATCATCTATCCCTTTGCACCTAGTACACTAATGTCTTCCCATGTTCAGTCTCAGGTCCTGACAGGGTTCAACTTCAAATATAATTTTTCTGCCTTACTAGCAAAAAAAAAAGAAAAAGTATCAGTTTCAATCTAATCCCAAACCTCAGAATTAAAATTCTGCCATAATTTTTGAATTATCACATTCCCGCTACTTGTGAAACATCTTAAAAACAACTTCTGTTCTACTCTTACTTTGTAATCCTGAGTGATTTGTATGATCTTTCTTCTCTCACCTATGATAGTTTTGACTAAGCTTGCACTGAACCCATGTATTATGGAGAAACACACTCAGTGTTCACCCAGACAGGTATTTAATTGCCATCAGCCACTCAGCTTTGTGGGATGTGCAAATGCAAGAGCATTTGCAGCAGTAAGCACTGGCTCTCCCTTACCTTGACAGAACCAAGATGTTATGTGACTGGAAACAGCAGGGAGTCAAAAGAGAGAGGCTGCTCTTTAAAATGGTGGAGACACACTACTTTAAGCCACAGGCAAGCAGTGATAGTCTATAGTTGCTCTCTCTTTCCCATTTCCACAAACAACAGGAACATAAGCAAATGAATAGGTGGAGTAGCAAAGTTAAGAGACTAGAATTCAGAAACACCCCAAAGATTAAGTTTAATGTAGCCCACATTTAGGGCTTAAAGTATGCAACTCTCAATGCAGTCATGTTCTAGTGCTTACAGAGCAGAAGAGTATTTCTTAGGACAACCAGATTCACTTCTAATTAGAATACAGATCTGTAGTTGGAATATAAGCCAGTGCAAGACAGGGGAAGGAGGGGAAAAAAGAGGAGAGAGGAGTGTATCTCGAGTGGCATTTTTGCTGTATTTCCCATATAAAGTATAACTTTTAAAAAGGGAACAGCTGAGATCAAAACCTCTACAAGTCAGAAGTAGTGCAATGTTGTAACAATGTCCTATTGAAATTCTTCTCTAAAGTACTCAAATACGCTGTAGTAGGTGTAAGTATTGCAGAAAAGGGCCACATCTCTACTCAAAACTGCAGTAATGGCAATGTCCCCCTGGGCTGGAACAACCACCCCTGGCACCGCAGAGGCTTTGACCCACACACAGCTCCAGAGGAAGGGTGCTGCAGCAGCCTGATGTCTCTCCCTGGGGCTGGCAACAGCAGCCTCACCGGTGCGAGCTGTGCTCTGGTTGCAGTGCCGAGCTGCTGGGTGAAGGAGCTGCAGGAGGAGGTGAGCAGTCTGCCTAGCAGCCAGGAAGAGGAACAGGAGATAGCAGGGTCGTCACAGAGACGCTGCAGAGCTAAGGACCACCCAAGCCCTGTTGCTGCAAAGGAGGGAAAACCTTGAGACTATCCTCACAGGAGCCATGGATGGAGACTCCCACAGGAGGGGAAGCTGGAAACCTCTTGCTTCCAGCAACACAAAAGGGCTCCTTTTCCACCTGCAGCTCTGCCATTGCAGAGTAGGTACAATGCCCTGAGACAGATGAGGATCATGACTCCACCAAGGAATGCATTGATGCCAGCTGAAGCAGAGCCAAGTGTTCACACAATGAAGAAAAGGAAGATGAGAGTTACCAGAAAATCCTTCCTGTGAGGGACAGAAGCCCTCAGTGACTTGGAGACATCGACAGGTTTGTTTCTTGGATAAGAGTTACCAGAGAATCCTTCCTGTGAGGGACAGAAGCCCTCAGTGACTTGGAGACATCGACAGGTTTGTTTCTTACTATATAGTGCCCATATCCC